TATAGAAAAATAAAATATATAGAAAAATTAAAAATCATATGAAATTATTTTAAACCATCAACGAATAAAGTATCTCTACTAGAAACAAACCTATCATGTTTTGATTTAATTCATCAACAATAAGTGACATAATCAACTCTATGTAGAAAGTCAATGTTCATTTGTAATTGTCCTTTCATCCTTTGGGAATCTGTACTTGGACATTGTTTTGACTAATAGCAAAGATAAAATCTCATTAAAAAAAATAAAAACTCCTGTTATGTAGAGAAGATACAGAAAATGGTTGATCCTTGTGAATATTTCTTGCTCCATTCAACCAAAGAACAAATGCTGTCAAGAAGCATTTTCTAGCCCTTGCCTTAAATATTCTAGAGGAGATGATTGATAAATTCAAGAAACCTGATACTAACTTGATGGGCAAATAAACTCTTCCCTTTTTTCCTTCCATGAGGAGCTTGCACTGCATTGGGCACAGCCTGCAGTACCGAGGACTCAGACTCACACTTGTTGATTGGTTGACAATAGTCACTATTATACAAGCCCAAAGAGTGCATTGGTAACTACCACAGGAACATTCTGGGAGTTATCATGGTCAGTGTCCAATAGTTTGATCAGAACCATCCGAGGGAATCACAGTGTGATCTGTGGGCCCAAGGAGAAAACAAATCATTGGTATAAAAATGGGGATTTCCAGGAGCCAATAGTTAGGATGTTACATAAGGGTAAGATAATTTGTCATAAAAATGATAAAGACAGTAAAGGAAGTTGAACTATTTATTTATTTGCGTATGTGACAAATTCTCCTAGAGGAATACAGAAAATTTCTCTGTAAAATTTCCTTCAAAAGAAATTTTCAAAGCTTCTCAAGATACTGTATTTTATATTTTAAACACAGATGATCCTGCAAGAATTTTCACGAAACATCTATTACAACTTAAAACCAGTGCTAATTTTCTCAACCTCAGAAGAAATAGAGAACGGCCTTCTCTCATTCATGTGTCTTACACCTCTCAAATTTGAGTGTATACACAAATCACTTCGGGAGCTAGTTAAAATGAAAATTCTGGGGAACCAGCAGTTAGTGTAATGGCTATGTCGCTGGACTCCCACGTAGTCGACCACGGTTCGCGTCCCCAACCTGGTGGCTTAAAACTCACGCTGGGCTTGGGAACCAGCAGTTAGCGTAATGGCTATGTCGCTGGACTCCCATGTAGTCGACTGCGGTTCGCATCCCGGACCCGGTGGCTTAAAACTCATGCTGGGTGCGTGTGCATGCACACGCGTGCGTGCCCAAGATCCCGAGAGGAGAATGGAGAAGGGATTGCGGCGTGACCATCCCCCCTGGGGGGTGATTTCTCGCTTTCTGTCTCTATGTCTCTCTCTGTCTGGCGAGCGCATGTACCCTATAGTGAAAAATCTCTCCAAAAAAAAAAAAAAAAAAAGAAAATTCTGGCTCAGTAAATTCAGGGAGTCAAGATTCTTTATTTCTAAGAAGCTCCAGACGACCTCCCCTTGAGTGGCAAGGACTGAGACTGTCCCTGCTTCTATTATCTTTGGTTGTTTCACCTGTTCTTCTTTACTTCAGTACACTAACCCTCGCTGAGTGCCTGACTCAGATTGTAGCCGCCTGACTACAGCTGAGTCATTCATTCAGGGAAGACATATGACTCAGACCAGGCTCATCAGGACTGTTGTCTAGGACTTTCTGAACCTGGAACTAGGGGGAGAGGCTCAAGACTAGTCTCTCTCCATATTTCCTGCCAAAAGGGCAAAGCTGCCAATAGGCCTAGAGATGGACAGAAACCTGGTGGTACACACACACACACACACACACACACACACACGCACATAAGAGGTCTTGATAGTAATGCGTATTACCATGTACGAATGCAATGCATGGCTTCAAAAGATTTTTTTTGGACCAAAATGAATTCATACTTGAGCTCCATTTTTCCATATGCTTTTTGAAATTCCCTCATATATATATGATTTTTATTTTGGTACAAAAATCTTGAAATCCATGCATAGTATGCATTTTCCATGAAAGCTTGTTTTTTTATCGTTGTGTGTGTGTGTTTTGAGAGTTTTTTGTTTGTTTGTTTGTTTGTTTGTTTGTTGCTATAGGGTGCTCGTGCTTGCCGGAGAGATAAAGACACACAAAGTGAAAAATCACCCCTCCCTAGGGAACCCCCCCCATCCCCCAGGGAGGATAGCCACACTGCAATCCCTTCTCCTCCATTCGCCTTTCAAGATTCTGGGCACTCATGCACACACACACACACACACACACACACACACACAGCCCGAGTTTCAAGCCACCAGGCACAGGACTGGAACCGCAGTCAACCATGTGTGTGTCCAGCGCCATAACCATTACACCATCTGCTGGTCCCTATGCTACTGTTTATAATTTTGCCAGCGGTCGCTTGTGCTCACAGAAGAGAGACAGAGAGAAAGTAAGAAATCACCCCCCACACACATACGGGGAATGGTCACATCCCAATCCCTTTTCCATTTCTCCCTCCTTTTAGCATTTTGGGCATGCATGACCTGTTCCTGGTGTGTTTTTCAAGCTGCAGGGTCGCAGACTCAACCACACAGTTAGCCATGCGATCCAGCTGTCTTAACTACCACACCCTCCATGAAGGTTTTGAAGATCACCTTGTGTGTATTTAAATATAATCATTTTAACTGGCAGAGTACATGTGCACTAGCCAGGGAGAGGAAGAAAGCATCCCCCATGGGGTGTGGTCATGCCACAACACCCCCCACCTCTCTATTCTTTTAGGATTTTGGACATGCACACAGGCACACCCCGCATGTTTTCCAAGCAACCAGGGCTGGGATTTGAACTGCTGTCAGCCAAGTGGGATCCACATGCACAGTGTTTAACTGCTGTGCTAACAGGTCAGCTCTAGACATTTTTTTAAACTAATTTATTTTTAACTAACTTTAGTTTTTCTGTCACATGCAACCAAAAGAGTGCTGCCCAAATACAATACTCATATAATTAATATTTCAGAAAATATCTTAATTCTCTTTTTTGAGATAAATAAGCCACTTCTTTACACATAAACTATTTTCTAAACTTTTGCTTTTTACTTCTTGTCCAAGTCCAACACTATCTTGCATCTGGGACATAGTGTGTGTGGACTTGGATTCACTTATTCATTGAGCAAGTTTTGTACCGTATGGCAGCCACCATGCTGGAGGCCAGGACCACATAGTCCCTGCTCTTATAGTGGCTTACAGTATAGTAGGGGAGACAGACAAAGTTATTTCATGTGATGTGATCTATCACCGGAGCACATAGGAGAAAGCATCGTGTTAAAGGTGGCACTTGGTCTAAGTCTTGAAGAACAGAAAAGAAAGGAAGAATTCCAATCGGAAAGACCCAAATAGACAAAAACATAAAAATGAGAGCTAGAACATTCCATTTAGAAAAGTATGTTTCATCCCAAAGCCTGAAGAGGAGCGGGCAGGAGGGTAAGGAGTAAGGAGAATGGGAAAGTAGTCATGCTACAAATCACGGAAGGCTTTGAATAACAAACCAAAGATCTTGGACTTTATCCTGTAAGCATGTGTAATGACTGTAAAAAGCAATAACTGGACAAGATCATGTTCGTGTGCTGCATAATGTACTGGGAGAAATCAAGATAGGGACTGGGAGGGATCAAGATAGGGACAGGGAGTAGTGTTAAGACTAAGATGCGATCTTTGGGCCATGAGCTGATGCAGTTAGGATGAGGCAAAATAAAATCTTTCAAGGTCAACCAATTTTGTCATGTTCATTATCTGTTATATTATCCCATCTTCCTTACATTTTCCCTTACATATAGATCACCTTGGGATTATTATAATGTTGTCATTTTAAACATCTCCATGGATAGTATATTGCATCTTTTTTAAAAAATAATTTTTATTTTTAATGAATTTACATTCATTCACTGAGCATCACCACAGCATACAAAATGTAAATTCCCATCCAGAACATACTGTATAGTGGCTTAATCATACATGTTATCCTCAATAATTTTCCATTTCTAGTTTTATGTGTGTGTATATATATATATTTTTCCCCCTATTTCTCACACTCTGCCATTTCCCACTCTCCTTTCACACTATCTCAGGTGTCTACAGTTGTTTTCAATTCCTTTTTTTCCCCCACATTTTATTGATTCACAAAAAAAAAAATTTTTGAGAGGTTTTTGCTATAGGGTGTATGTGCTTGATAGAAAGAGAGACAGAAAGCAAGAAATTGCCCCCCAGGGGGGGGATGGCCACACTGCAATCCCTTCTATTCCATTCTCCTCTAGGGATCTTGGGCACATACGCACACATGCCCGGCATGAGTTTAAGCCACCGGGTCCAGGACTCAAACAGCAGTCGACTACATGGGAGTTCAGTGACATAGCTATTACGCCAAATGTTGGTCCCTGATTCACAAAATTTCTTAAATAATCTAATTTCAATAGCAAGTTCAGCTGGCATATACATATCTGTGAATACATGTCTGACTTTAGCCATGAAACTCTGAGTAGAATGAATATACTAAAAGGTAGCACCTAGCTGAAGCTATACAGCTTACTATGGTCATTAAATAGGTATTTTTAAATATATTGTTTAATTTCAAGAAAAGCAATTTTAGTTTTAATAACTCAAAGAAATGCTAAGGAACTTTGCTTAAAACTTAAAGCCAGGAAAAAGGTTAGGATCCTGTTCAAATAGTAGGTACATGAACCTATCAGCAGCTCAAAACAGGACAAAAATCTTTAAAATTGGAAAACAAATCCTAGAGGAAAATCAGCAATGTTTTAGTCAAAACTTATAAAATTTTATTTCACCAGTTCAGTCTCATGTACTTAATCTATCTTTGAGTTCAATCTTCCCAATTAAATTCTGGGATATAATATTCAACTCCAGACTTGTCCCTATGATTAAGTAGGCATTTTTTAAACATCTAAACTGAGAGTCTCTGTCTTACTAGAGGCAAATTTCACCTGTTCACATAGGTTCACTTGTAGAAATGTTTCTGTCATCTTCTTTCATGTTTTCTACTTCACAAACTTCCTTTGTGTTCCTCCTGTTGCCTCCTTTCCTAACTTCTGTTAAATAGTTGGATTTTACTCTGCTGGTCTAAAGATCAAACATGATTATTTTAGTCTTCAGATATTTTTCTCAATTTAAGATCTTATATTTGTTGTAATATCTATCATTCATTTATTTGCTGTTGTAATAGAATTACAGTTTACCAATACTGCATCATGACTTTTCTGATGACCCAATATAAATACCTTAAAGGCTCTTCTGTCTCTCCGTACTCCAACACCAATATGCCACATGTTGGTGTTTTCTGGAGTTTAAGCTATACTTTATCGATTGTTGTTGTTCATTGCTTAGACCAAAAAGAAAAGGAAAACCTTGCTAAATTATTTGTTAACGTTTATTTTCCATATCTTTTTTTTGGAGAGTTTTTTCTATCAGGTGTGTGCACTCTCCAGAAAGACAGAGAGAGTCAGAGAGAAAGAAAGCGAGAAATCACCATGCTGCAATGGCTGCTGAAATGGCCATGCTGCAATCCCTTCTCCTACATTATCCTCTTGGGATTTGGGGCTCACACACACACTTGCCTGTAACATGAGTTTACGTCACCGGGTCTGGGACTCAAAATGTGGCCGACTACATGGGAGTCCAGCAACATAGCCATTATGCCAACTACGTCCTAATTTTCCATATCTTATTTTGCTACTGGATGGAGAATTTCCTCCAAGAGGGCCTCTAACGTGTTTTAGGTGATCTGAGGCCTAGTATCTCTGGCATTATTTCTACTTCACTCTCATACTTACATAATAATTAGCAATGTTGATTTAATTTGTTTTCTTTCCACACATTAATAATATTTCCCACTGCTTCATTTTCCCCTTGAGTTGCTGTTGAGAAGTCTGGGCTAGCTGGCAGCAGCATACAAAGGGTAGCTGAGATCATTCTGACTCAGTTGAGGAGGAAGAGCACCACCTGATACAGACAGGGGAGGAGAAGGGAGTCAGGAATTGATTTGGAGTGTGGACTTTGGTTTGTGAATATTTTACAGCCTTCGGTAAGGCAGGGCAAAGACCAGATCAGCATTTTTGGTCTGCCAGGAAGGCAATTATCATGACAAATTGGAAAGGCATCTAAATACTGAAAGTCAGTGATGTCAAAGTGAATTTGAACTCTACAAATAAAAGTAATATGACACAAAAATGCAAAATAATCTGTTGATAACGTGTTCCATAATATCTTAACCAGACTAATATACAATATATTCATGCTGGAAATATTCACTTTATAAGCTATAATGATATACAGTGACTGAATTTATTAAAAAAAAAACTTAAAAAAAAAGTAATGTGGCAGAATAATGGCATCCTGAAGATGTCTATATCCTAATGCCCAGAGCTATAAAGACTTGGAAGTAGTGATTAAATTTAGGACGCTGAGGTGGGGGATTATCACTTTCTAGGTGAACCCACACAATCACAAGGTCTTTACAAGGAAAGAGGGGCAAGAGAGTCAGAGGCAGAAAAGGAGACGTGAAAGTGGAAGCAGAATTCAAAGAGAGACAGAGAGAAAGACAGGAAGTGCTCGGAGAGGCTACACCGCTGGCTTTGAAAATAGGTAAGGAATCAGAAGCCAGGAAATGGTGGATTCTAGAAGCTGAAAAATACAAGTTGTCTCTCCTCTAGATCCTCCAAGCAAACTCTGCTGACCCTTATCCTAGTCAGACCCATTTCAGACTTCCAACCTCCAGAATCGTAAGATAATGAATTTGTGCAGTCATTAAGTCATAAAGTTGTGGTAATATGTTATACCAGAAAGAGGAAAGTAATACAGTGGGACAAGAGTCATTTGATTCTCAAAGATATTATCATTTTCCTTGTTATATTTAATCCTTACTTATGGATGTTCAGACACTGAGATCCAAGTCAATATTCCACACATATTCATTGTTAAAGATTTCACCTGTCCAGCTTTGAGCACACAGCCTGACTCCTCAAAGGAGTTCAGTAAATATTTTTTGAGAAATACACACTGCATTCAAGTTTGATTACTCTAGATCTCTGTTTCTGCGAATCTCCCTCAAATTAAAAACACGCACACACACATTTATTTATACTTTCATTTATATGCATGTATGTGTGTATACAGATAGATATATAGATAAATAGATTGATCAATCACAGGTCTTGTCTCTTTTGTTAGAGATTTTTGCTATAGGGTGTGTGCACTCAACAGAGAGACACAAAGTGAGAAATCCCCCAGGGCACGATCACACTGCAATCTCTTCTCCAGTGTTCCCTCACAATTTTTGGCATGTACGCACATGTACCCAGCATGAGTTTCAAGCCTCCTGGTCCAGGACTTGAACTGCGGTTGACCATGTGGGAGCCCAACACCTTAACCACTATGCCATCTTTTGGTCCCAATCACAGGTCTTTTCTAACTATTAATAAATGTCTCCTTGATGTCTCAAATTCAGCTTGTCCAAAACCAAATTACTGAATTGGTTCTTGCCCTTCCATGCCGTAATCTGTTTTTTTGGGTTTTTTGTTTTTTTGTTTTTTTTTTAATTTTCTTTAGTTCAGTCAGGGTAAGGAATCCCAGCTTTCCACTCATTTAGCCTAACCAGAGAGCTGAGAGTCATCTTTTGATTTCTCTCTCTCTCTCTCTCTCTCTCTCTCTCTTCACCATTGGTCATCAAATTATAAAAAAAAGTGTCCTAGGGACCAGCATTTAGCATAATGGCTATGTCACTGGACTCCCATGTAGTCGACCATGGTTTAAGTCCTGGACCCAGTGGCTTAAACTCGCACCAGGCGCATGTCCCGAGAGGAGAGAGGAGGAGAAGAGATTGGGGCATGGCCATCCCCCCTGGGGGGTGATTTCTCACTTTCTGTCTCTCTCTCTCAGTCTTCCTGGTGAGTGTATACGCCCTATAGCAAAAACCTCTCCCCCCCCAAAAAAAAATGTGTCCTATAATCGCCTCTGAAATTCATATCCCTCATGTCTGCACTGACACTACTCTAGTTTGGGCATTAGTCTCTCTTGTCTGAATTAGGACAAAACCTCACTACCAGTTGCACTGTAACCAACACCATCAGCAGGCCCTCTCAGCCCTGCCCAGTGCATCGCTGTCTGCTGCCAGTGTTCTGTCACACACTCTACCCAGGTCACAGCTTTTCTTAAAAGTTTTTCGAGGTTCTTCAGCTCCATAGTTGATTCCATAAAGTATAATTCTTATAGCATGGCACTTCAAGTTTCATGCTCCTGTAGATTTGGTAGATTGTAGCTACTGTGGTCTGGTTTCTGGTGTGATGTCAGACATATTACAACTACTAAATTAAAAAATAAAAAAACTTGTCTGTTTTTCCAGCCTCATCTCAGGCATTCTCACCCTGTTTTACAATCTGACAATACCAAACTAGTCGTTGTTTCCCAGATAGTTGCTATTTCACACAGCTG